TTTCAGGTATTATTCCATCTCAAGCTGGATGGAATAAAGGTGATTCGCAAAAGTTAATGACCAATTTTGGCACACCACGAAATACTCAAACTAGAGTGAAGTCAGAAAATCTTGCGGTGTGTTCTTTTGAATTTCAATGTTGAAATTGTTTAGAAACTACAGCATTGGAAAAAACAAAAAATTAGATTTCTAAAATTTCTTTTTAAGAACTTAATGTGAAAACATCATTTCGTATAAATATATATTTGAAATGGAATTTATTAATAGGAAATACCGGAGGAAATTCTGATGAGAACCCATGGTGAAGTTCGTTTACAATCCGGTACAAACAAATTCGATTCACAACGAGGTATGACTGGTTTCGGTACCGGTCGTGATGTTTGCCGAGAAGGTATTCATGTCAGTCAGGCACCATCAGATCTACAGGTTCTTTCATCTTCTTTTTTCTTCCGTCCATGTTTTTATACATTTAGCTTCACAGTTTTTTCATTTAATTTTCTAATGCAGCATGATTTCGTTAAATTTAATTAAACTTGTCTCTAATTTAAAAATTCAGCCACTTGACGAAGAAAAGATTCGTCTCAGCGATGGTATTGTTCGTTTACAAGCTGGTACCAACAAATATGATTCACAGAAGGTAATCTACTCAGTACAGATTTATTTCCAAACAAATGTAAATAATTAATTTTCATTTGTCAGTATATTTTTAGCCAGTGATGACATTTTTCACTTTTTTTAATTTTTTTGAAATATTAACATTTATAGGGTATGACTGGTTTTGGTACATCTCGGCGTGAAACAACAAAAATGAAGGACACAAGACATCCGGAATACGATCATGAACATCCCGATCAATCTGAAATCCCACTTCAAGCTGGTACTAATAAGTTTGCTTCACAGAAGGTAACTTTTTATTGTTCTCTTCCGAAATCTTAACACGACTGATAAGGCTTAATGTGTAAACACAATTATAGCTAAACAATATTTCAAAATTACTTCATCAACTGATCATAAAGTTTTAAAGTACATAAGTTCTCAAGTAACTTATTCATTCCTTTCATTAATCTTTGATATTTTTGTGGTGCGAAATTTTGACAAAACAATTTAATATTTTGTCATTAAACTTTGAGAAAGTGTTTTTTTAACTCAAACTAAAAATAAGAAATTATAACAATCCATCTTTAGGGAATGACCGGATTTGGCACAGCACGACGTGAAACGACAAAAATTCGCGATACGGCTCATCCTGAATACGATCCGGAAAGTAGTATCGATTCCACCACAATTCCTAGCCAAATGGGCAGCAATAAATATGCTTCTCAGAAGGGTATGACTGGTTTTGGACAACCACGCTGGGAGGTATATAATTTTTCTACCATTTATTTGATTATAAATTATTTAATGAAATATTTTAAAGTTGAACGGAAAAAATTTCAGGTATTGGATCCATCAATCTCATGGCAGAATCGTAAAAGTCAAGGAATGGTTCGTTTACAATCGGGTACAAACCGGTAGGTTTAACGATTGTGAATTTCTTGAACTGATTCAGGAATTATAAAATAAGTTGTAAAACGGCCATTTTTGTTGCTGGAAAGGAAGATATGAGAAAAAAAGAGTAATAAGTTTTATTTTTTAAGATTTGCATCTCAACAAGGTATGACCGGTTTTGGTACACCACGTAATACCACTTATGAAGCAGAAGCCGGCGAATTGCCTTATGAGGATATGAAGAAATCGGAAACGGTAATTCCATCACAAGCCGGTTGGAATAGAGGCGATTCTCAGAAGGTACATTTGTTTGGATAAAATTAAATTCATATATCAGTTAATAGATAAGAAATTCTTCCGAAGAACTTTTAAAATTCATCATTAAGCTTAAACTTTTTTCTGCATTTATGTGACATTTTAGACATATATAAGAAAAAAATGGCAAAATGTTTTAACAATAATTTTATTTCAGGGTATGACTGGATTCGGTGCACCACGTGACGTGAAAGGAAAACATTTGAAACGTATCTGGGAACTGGAATATCCGGAAGAAGCGGAGATTTCTCTCGATCGACTTTAGATTTCAGCCTCTTTCCCACTCCTCAAATTCCTTATTTTAAACTGATAAAGCTAGAATCTGTGCCAGTTTTTCTTTTATAATTTTTAAACTCAAACATGCATTTAATTAATCACAGTTGTCTGGAAATGAGACAAGTTTGTTGATATAACGATAAACTTTTAATTCTATCCTGTTTCTCAATTTTCACCGAATTTTTTATTCGAAATTTGATATCGTCTAGCCCGAAAGACATATGTGTCATTAATAGGGTGTTTCAACAGTATCACAAATTTTAAATTTTTAAAAGATTTATTTCTGCCATTAAAAATTTGCTAACTGCTAAAATTTTTGAATTTTCAAATCATTCAATTTTTCAGTTTTTCAAAATTTTCAAACAGTGTGTTTAATCGTCCTTTATTCTATCATAGAAAGAATCTGCAAAATCTAATTTTTACTACCGGAAAGTTGTATATTCGAATATGCTTTATAATAATGATTTTTATCATAATTTTGCTTTATTTTTGATGGTAGCACGATATGATATGATATAGATGTTTGCCACCTTTAAATGCGTGTGTATTTCAAATGAGAAATCCTCTATTTCTACAAAAAAGCTGCCCACATTGTGCTATAACTTACATTGTTTTATTCCCATGCCAAATTCAAGCAACTCGATATTATTATTATCGTTATCATTATTATTATTACCGTTATAATAATAATAATTATTATTGGTATTACTACGATTTTTATTAGTACAAACTTTAATTGCTTATAATTTATTATCTATGCAATATTTCAATAGTTTAAGCAAAAAAAAAATCATCGAATTGCTGTGACATGTGGAAAATTCAGCAATATTTTATTTCATTAGTAAATAATGCAATACTGCTTGTCAGAAATTTTTTCTTTTATAAATATCTTACCGACTCTATCAAATATGTAAAAAGAGCTGTGAATTTTTGAATGTTGCAATTTTGTTACACTAAATTGCTTGGAAAGTTAGGAAGAATAAAAGATTAAAGGGCCTATCTCATTCATATTCAATTCACTTCTTTTTACTATTTCCCATTCAATTCATACGATTTAATTCAGAAAATGACGAGGAGGAGAATTGTTTATTTGAATATACGCATATATTCCATTTAGAATATCAATCAAACTTCTAATTAACAAATTATATTTTAATTGTGTGCCTAATCTCTTTTGCCAATGTCAATCTTATAAGTTTAGGAACAAAAAGCGAATAACTTAATAAACAGATTTGTTTAAATTAGCAAAAAAGATTTCGTTATATAATTGAGATGTCACTTAAACTAATTTCTATTATAAACACAAATTGAATTCAATAATTGAAGATCCGTTATCCTTCATTACACATATGTGGTATGTTCGGAGAACTACAACAATCTGATGGAATTTACCGAAGTTTATAACTTAAAAATGATTGTGCATTTAATTCTTTTCGTCATAGAAGTTCTAAACAATACAAGATAAGTGAACAATCGAAAGTTTAAGTAAAACCTAAGCTCAAGTATTAAGTACTCTTGAAATATCTTCCTCAGCTGCTCCCATATCACCCAGCATGATAGTTTTGCTACCCGAAGAAGTCTTTATTTCATGGAATTTTCCCATACTCCTTTGTTATAATTTTCCGGCAAATCACTTATAAGATAGTTTTATTGAAATGTCAAGAATTTTACCAGTCGAATGAATCATCCGCACTGATTCATTAGTCGAATCGTAGCATAAAATAACATAAACCAAATGTGAAAACAAACTTAAAGTACTCTGTTTAGCAAAGCAAAATCACCTGGCTAGCAGAAAAATTTGAGATTTTTTATCTGTTAAATGTATTATTCCACTCTGTTGTCATTTGGATATTAACATTTTCGATAAGCTGCCTTATTCTTGTAGCACTTGATATTTTGTAGGAACTCAATTTGGTTGACAGTTCCTTACAAACTTATATTCAGATATATCATAGATTAGAAATTTCTCGCATATCCTTTCCACTTTTAACATACAACATCACCCACATTACTTTTATAATTCTTGGTCTATAAATTGGAAATGTTGAGACTGAACTATACAATTTTCACCCTAAAATAAGAAACTATCAAAAAATGAGACTAGAAAATTCCAATAACTTCTTACCACTAAATTGATAGCAGCATGCTTGAAATTATTAATTTTTATGCTTTTAACAATTTTCATTATATTTCTTTCTAACTGACGCGAAGCTAAGTCTAATAAATGATAAATTATTTCAAATAAATTACTATATTTTGAACATGGCGATCATCTCAACTTTCTCTTTTCCGTCGTTTTTCATCAGATAAAAAATCCTAAAACTGAAATAACTAAGAAATGTCAATTAGCCTGAAGTTTGTAGAATCATTTTTTGCTGAACATTTATTAGTATCGCTAGTGATAACAGGTTGTTCATAACTATTGCCATATCAATACAGTGAAAATTAATTTTTATTTACAGACAAACAATAGAATTATATGAAATGAGCTCTTTTTTATGTATCTCTTACAAAAAGAAAAAGTAGAGGAAAATGAACATTATTAGCGATCATCTACTTATCTGTCACCTTTCTATTCTAAAAACACAACAAAGTGGATGATGTATCGGCGCCAACACTTCATTTTTATTTTGCTACCACTTCCGTCTAGCAACAGTAACAGTAGCTGTAATGCGACAGAAGTTTTGTGATCAAATCTCTTAGTGAATCAGATAAAGGTGGAGCAGGCTTTTTTATAACATCTTTCCGAGCAGACTATCACAGTCATCAATATATCCACGCGTTACTTACCACTTATATATCAACTAAAACTATTGAAAAACTTATAATTTTGTTTTGGCTTACTATTATAGTGCTATCAATAACTGCCGAATTTTTCTCTGAATTGATCAGGCAAGCTTCAACAAATTTACCGGAACGATATGGCCAATAATACTTCATCCACTTCATGTTCGTTCCACTTCTCTTTTTTCTGTAATATTTTTCTTTTTCTGTCATGAATAACATGAAGAATGATTATTTATTTTTCTTTAATATCATTAAGAGTGATCTTTGTTTCGCATAAATTTTTGTCATAACTTAGTATTTAAGTATATCGATTTTTTTTATTAAATTCATTTCAATCCAATTTTTTCGAATAATTAAAGATTTGTTATCATATGGGACATACTTTTATGCTTTCGTTAAATCTAATCAAATATGAATATCATTTGACAAATGTTGTTATCTTCAAAAGTTCCTATAGGAATGATATTTCATATATATGTATAAAAGACAAATGGGTAATTTATGTGAATTTAAATTAAAATTGTTTTCTATTCAACTTGATTTACAGTATTGGTTAGTGATAATTTAATTTAATTAGTTAAAAAACACGTCGATTTAATTTGTTCCCGAAATTTTTGCAAGCTTTGGCTAAAGAAATTAAATCACCAACAAGGTCACTACTAATGTAAGAAATAAAGCTTCTAAGATTTTTCCGAATATCCATTATTCTATTTAACTACAATCATTAGCATCGATTTTGTTTTAAATTCAAAATTTTACTTCCCTTCAAAGGAATAAAATGTTGTATTAATCAATGCTTTCAGTGATTCATTGCAGTGACCGCGGATGATGGCTTGAAAATTGCTCACGTAAAAGCGGAAAATGAACGACGTACACGTAGCGGTAAATTCACTCTCGGACAATTACGACAAACTGATGGTTTGGTGCCGCTACAGTCGGGAACAAATCAATTCGATTCACAGAAAGTTAGCCAATCTGTCATAATTACTAAAATACTTCATCTATTCTCCTCGCCCTTATTTTCATTTGATTTAAATTTAAATGATGAAGGAACGAAAATGTAATTCTCTGTGAGTTCTTAATTTATTTCAAAACAAATTAAAACAATTAACAAGAGATGGAGAGAGAGAAAGAAATAGTTGAAAAATTGATATCATTGTGCCTTATGACTCATAACATATAACAAAGTATTTGAAGTGGATCCACAATAAATCATCCATTTCCTGTGTTGAACTTTGAAAAGTTCTAAACTTTACTACTAATCAATCAATGAATTACGAGTTTTTCAAAACTTTTTTGAGATTGTGAATAAGAATTTTTAAATAGAAATTAATAAATTTATCCTAAAAAGACTTAATTTTTAGTTAATCAGAAAATCCGAGCAATTCTTAAAAAAAATTTTTCTGGAATGTTTTATTAAAGGAAGCAATCTATGCGATATTGCATATCTTTTTTCTATTTTATCGGTTGAAATAAATTTGTAAAATATTGAAGAAAGTCTGAGAAAAAAATCGAAGAAAAATGCTAAACTGTATACAACAGATATGGTTATTATTTACAATTGTAAAATTTTGGAGCATTCTACCATTGCAACTTCCTGATTTCACTGTTTTGATTCATTTTTACTTGGACCGCCGGATTCAACTTCACTGTTAGTAGGAAAATTCCGTGTCACTGCAGAAACACTTGATTTCCTTATATTGTATGCAAAATTTCATAGGAAATTTTTTGTATAAATAATTGATAATTTATAATAATAATTTATAATTGATATTTTTTATAATTATTTTATAAATAATTTATAATTGACATTTTTTTGCATATCAATTATAAATAATTGATATTTTTGTAAAAAAATAATTTAGTATAAATATTTTGTATAATAAATGCAAGATAGTAAAGTTTCTTATACGGTAAGTCAGCTTACACAAAACTTTCTGGTAACTTAATTAATTGATAATTAACTTTTTGTTTTTGAAAAACGCTACTCTGAAGCAAGCTTTCTTAATCAAAATAAACACAATTGCTTTTTGAAAATTTATAAACCACTAATTTTGATTTACTACGGAAGTGTAACCTTACAGTGCAACCAAATTTCTGGTTTGATAGTGAAGCTCATTAGTTCATCTTTGTTGGCAAAATAAGGTTATTTATATAACATAATTTATTTTTATTAAAAAAAATTTGCTGTTAGTTATCGCATTGAAGTGCAGCAATAAATAGAAATTATTTCGGTTGATTTTACACCGATTAGCTTCAATATGTTCAGCTGATATGCAATAATGGTAGTGATAGAGTATTTGCTATATATTAAGCTTAGATACCAACTCTGAAAATACTTCATCCAATAAGAAATAAACTTTATGAGTTACCTTCACAGATGCATTACATTGTTCATACAAAATAATACTCGTAAATTTACAGGGTAAAACAGGTTTTGGTATGCCTCGTAATACTGCTCTTAACGTGCAATTTGCTGATAGTGGTAAAAAATGGTCAATTGAGCAATTGAGAGCTACCGATTCAATCATTCGATTACAATCCGGAACTAATAAATGTGATTCGCAGGTAAATCCAATCCAAAAGGAAATTAACCAAATTGCAATTGGGAGAGGAAAGAGATGTGATAATAAAGTTTTAGGAGAGTAATAACTGGCTTTGAAATTTTTAGAGAGGAATGACTGGCTTCGGAACACCACGTGATGTTCGAGGTAAGCATTTGAAACGACTATGGGAATTAGAATTTCCGGAAGAAACGATGGAAGGAATCTCTGCACCACAAAATTCCTCCAACGAACCACCTGCTCCACCACCAAAACCAATTGTTCATTAAATTTTAATAATTGTTAAGCTGTCACAAAATTAAAAAAGACGAGTGACCGTATTATTTATATTCATTTCATTCTACAATGTTTTTTATTTATCTGACTTTCTGAAAACATATTTTGCTATGAAATCTAATGTACGATTATTTGGAACTTACAAATTTTGAGTTTATAAAGTAAAGAAGCAAGTAAATAAACAATGAAATCTGTTTAATTAATGAACCCTTAATCAATTAAACGAACGCTATTTCAAGTCTTAAAAAATTCCTTTACTTTTTTCAAACATTTAAAAAGCGTAGGGTTAAAATTTGACAGATATTGCTATTTTAATCAAAAATATCAAATTTAATATTGCTCATCGTTGTGTCGTTATTTTCAGCTTATAGCGAACATTCTTAATTGAACATTTAATTACTATATCAGAATGATATGATAAATGCAATTAATTAATTTATTTACAAAGCTTTTAGTAATTTATTGCTTTTTAGAAAATTTCAAGACAAAATCATAAATCAAATAATTTTTTTCGTTTTAAAATAAATAAAAGTTCAAGCAAATAAAAGCTTTTCTCCATTTCGAAGAGTTATTTCAAAATTTCATTATGTAATTCCTGTTCATCGTTCACTCATACATGCATACTTTTTAAATTGACATTAAATGAATTTTAAAATTATTAAAATTTTTGAAGCAAAAATGATGGATCGTGATATCTTGCATAGAGATAAAAGAAAATGAGCGCTCAAATAACCAACTAATTAACTAAATAAACAAATTAGATATCATTAGTAGAAATTTTGTCAAACAAAAGATTAAAAAATAACTAAACAATTAAATAACCGATAACTCTCATATAGTTTTAGTGAAAAAAGAAATGGTAAAGTAAAAAGTTTGTTTATGCTATCCAACAATTCGATCACCGAACTTCTCGTTTACAAGATGGAACTCGAGAATCAATATACCGTTATTTTCTTCATCTCAACCACAAATATTTGTCAACATCTACAAAAATTCCTTGCAATTTTAGTTTCAACAAGACCATTAAGAATGGAAGCAAAGAGAAAATTAAATGTTAACTAACTAGTTTGTAGAATGTTAATGAATGAATAATTCTCTAACTAAAGTTTAGGAGTTGATCAATGTTAAAAACGATCGATGCAACTTTTTTTAAACATACTTCATTGACAAATAAAGCTAAAACATTTTCTGTTAGTTTATCATCCATAATCCAACTTTACTTTAGCTGGAAATAACTGTTATTTATATTTATCGTTGATTTTTGTCGTTTTGCAAAGATGCAAAAAAATGATGATTGATTTAGTTAAATTATTATTCGTCTCTTTTAAAGATCTATGCTGAAGGCATCATATCTTAGTGTTAATTTCGGATAAATGAAATTCAACAATTAAGAATCCAAAAAATTTTTGAAAATTTTCACGCTAATTTCTTTTTACCAAATTCTGCACCAAATTCTTTTTATTGAAATGATACATTTAAGATTTTGCTGTTATCAGACAATCAGTTAGAGTCCAATATTGCACTTTGTCCGTCCATTTTTGTTCGGTTTCAACAGCTCAAAAATTTCAACAAACAAACTTTGACTTATAATTTGTTCACATCTGTGAATTTCAGTGTTAAAGACTGATATTTTTGTTAATGTGGTTGTAAATTTGATTTTTTCGTAAAAGAATTCTACATATTAAGAAAAAAACTCTGAAGTATCAGAATTGTTGAGTGCTAACCAAAACGAAAACCAATGATTATTGAAAAAATCGGATTAATAACTTTTATAAGCATAATATGGCATAGCATTAATTTGTCTTAATAGCTGTGCAGGCATAATGTATCTGATATGCTTTATTAAAGTTTAGAAAATATGAAAAGAATTACAAGAATGGTGCAATCTGTTTGAAGAAATGGGTAAATCAGAAGATCAGAAAATAAATTTAATATACATTTTTCAGCTTTCCAAAAAGAATTAACTAACGATAAAAAGCGAAAATTGTTCTCAATTTATTTATGAAATGTCATCACAATGCTATGGAATTATTTCGAACAATTCCTAGTACTTTTGCCATTTTGATATATATTTTCATAGCTTTTCATAAAGTTTCATTCCATTTATTCCTGCCTCTTTGATGGATAATCTTAATCTGATTTGATTTGTTTCATTTTTAAAAAATTTTTTTGAATTATCAGAGGCACGATTTGTGAAGGAATGGTAGCTACTGAATAAGTGCGAAAATTCTCAATTAAGTGACGGACCGAGAGCACCCAGCAGAGAATAGCATGCGACGTGAAATATAAAAACTCTCTAACATGGACATAAACACTGAGAGATCATAGGTAATTCGTGATGCCTTGGAAATGGGAGAATGTGATAGATAACGTGATAGGATGATAAAGAACGGATACCCTCATTAACAACGTCCACATTTTTATCACCGGAAAATAATAGAATTTCAACAGTGATAGAATGCATGCAACTATAGCGCTGAACTTTTGACCGCACCATAAAGATATAGGTAACAGCCAACAATGACATAACCTTCAGAATCTCCAAAAAGTGATGTTGTGTTGCAATAGTTTGGAGGAGTCTCGATTGGATTGACTGTCTTCTTTCGATGGAAATGAAGTCGTAAGATAAACAAAAACAAAGGGGTGAGCGGTTCAGGAATTTCGGGATTGGGTGGACTTGGGACAGTTGAAATAAGCATTGTTGTCTCTCTCGCTTATTATTTTCATCATCATTTGTTCAAAGCGCCAGCCAGCGAGTGGCGGTATTGGTTTAATGATGTCGCGACGCTGCCGCATACAGGTAAGATGCGTTTTTGGATTTATAACACACCTATAGAATTCTTTTGATTTACATAACATCCATCATTTTCATACGTATTTATAGCAAATACTATGTCAACTTTTGAAAATAATTTAATAACATTGCATATACGGCGTCAGTTGTTTAGTCAGGAATTATTTTTTAATGATAATTTGCCTTACAAGAAGGATTTCCTTGTTTATTCATTTGAATAGTTTGGCTTGTTCCTTGCAGGCACGTCCAAATGTTGTCAATGGAACGAAGAAAAGTATGCCATCAAAACCGAGACCTGCTTCTCCAATTAAAGCGCAATCAGATGGTGTGTCACCCTTATCCACCACAGTTGTGATACCGGAGGAAAAAAGTATGTTGGAAACAGAGACTTCAGGGAGAGTTGTTGCTGAGATCAAAGAACTGCGGATCAATGAACCAGCTAATTCCGATTCAATTTTAAACGACTTAAATAAAGATGGAACAAACACACGAGCAGGTAAAACAAAATTAAATTTAGTTTTAAAATAGTTTTTATAATAGACTCCCTGCACGTACCATGTAAATTAAATAACTATCCAGATTATATATGAAAAATGGAATGTAGGAGAAGGATAATATTTTTTCTGACGATATGCTTCAGTAATTAATTTTTTATCTTATGGAAGTTCACATAGGCATATATTCATTTTCTGCCAATGTTTATAGACCGAAAATCAAAATTTTAATATTTTAGGTAAGCCTTCATTCGTCAGTGACTACACAACCGAATCACTGACATTTTTAAAAACACCTCAACTTTTTCATAAATCTCTTGGCATTTCTTCATCTAAATCACCAAGACCACATTCGCCACTTAAATCACTGGTCAGTGTTACAGACTCCGTGTAAGTTTTTAAATCCATTGCTTCACTGGATATCTTTTGAAAGGTCCGTGGAATATTATTTAATCTTTTAAAACTACTGTTTTTATTGGTGATTAGAACTGTTTTTTTTTGTGATTATGTGTTTTTTAAACTCAGTGGTAGTATACCCATGTATATGTGCAGCTTATTCACTTATATTTACTGAGATTTAAGAGTTTACTTGAATTTGCATCCAAAAGCAAATCCGGAGATTTTTTAAATTCATATTGAATTTCATGATTGAGGAACTTTCAGCGCTTTATCTGGTATTGATCAACCGTTTTCACAACGATCGAGAACTGTATCATCCATTTCTCCTACCAAGAATGAGTGCCCACCAAAAGTGAGGTATATGATTTAGGATATTTTCACGAATCGCCATCTACATCGCCGATATTCACTACTTTGAGTGATTGATTTCTTAGTACAATCATCACCAAATATATAGACAATAATTGTTATATTTCAGGAAAAAATTTACTGGCAGTGAGCCCCTAGATCCAAAAACAATGACTATGCAAGATTTAATTTTCTGGAATCCGAAGAATGAAAAAGTAATTTTAATGTTCCTCTTCCCTTTTCATACGTTTACATTTTTTAACTTTTACATGTTACGAATGGTAATTGCTTAGTTCTTCCTTAAATTGAAACTTCTCATTACAGAGGTTGCATGAAGATTTTCGCAGAAAAAGGAAAGATGGTGTAACAGATCTAGAAATTGTAGGAAAAAATGATATTGAAAGTAAACAGAAAGAAATCCACAGGCCTGCTTTTGCTGCTCCGCAGGTAATTGATACCTCACATTCCTTACATTTCTGCTTTATTTTGTTAAAATTGCAATTAGGACATACCTTGTTGGAAGCGTCTTTATTACATTTTTATTCAAATGACATTTTCAGGTCAAAATAGCAGTTGATGGTTCTTTGGTTATTGATGAATCGAGTTTAACAATTACAAACGAAAATGATTCGAATGTGTGGGAAACTGTAGAAGAAGTATGTTATGTATTTCATAAATTATCAGAAACATAAGACATAGTTTTTCAACTAAAACAAAGAAAGCAATTTCTTCTTTAGCATTGGATTAAATGGCATATTCTTCCTTTTTTTTATTAGTCTTCTTTATCTTATTGAATAACCTTGGAAACACATCTCTTCTTTGGAAAAAGGAAGAATTTTCATTGTTCTTATTTTTTGTAGGATCGCTCAAACAAGAAGCTTAATTCAATGAGCTTTCGTAAGAGACCATTCTGCAGAGGCAATCCATGGAGTGAATTAGAAACTGATCTTTTTTATGATATTTTAAGGTAGCCCTTTTCCAGTTTTCTTTTATTTCTGAAGTAATATCATCATTTATAATCTAGGCAATAACTGTATTATTAGTAATATTATTTATATTAATTCATTAGTTTCTCATTTTAAGTAAAAAGTGTTTTTATATCGCTTTATTCTTATGCAAGTATTTCAGAGCCACAGGCCCAGATTTTGGATTGATGCATGAGTTCTTTCCGTCCCGAACACGACTCGAATTGAAAGCCAAGTATAATCGAGAAGAAAGGTTCAATTGGACTCGATTAAGTCAGGTGTTTCTTCTGCTACAGCCCCAGCCTCAATTTGTTCAAATTTCTATTTGTTATTTCCAATGAAGAGTGAGCAATTGTTTATAAAGAGTTTCAGGCTCTGGCTGTGCCAACATTGTTGTCTGATGCCTTATATTCGCATGCAAATGAAATCATCGATAGGATTAAGGAAAAAGAAATCAAGAAAAAAGCATTAAAAAAGAACAGCACCAGTAGTGATGCCATGAGCGAAGTAGCCGCTGTAAACTTTGATAATTTTTAGTCCGTGTATATTTTGAAATTTTTAAATTTCTTTCAGTTGAGTGGGTGAACATAATTTTTCAACTTATGGGCTTGATTATGTTTACCATAATTATTCTTTTTCCGTGTTAATTTTGAAATCTTTTCCAGGTTGATTGGAATGAAGAAGAAGCGAATTTGGAGGCAGAAGCTGAGAAGGCTATTTTGAGGCTGTTAGAAGATGAGTGAGTTATTAAAGGTTATTTGAAATTTTAATGAATGAGACATCTGTTATTAATGAAGCTTTTGCAGCGAACAACTCGATAGCTCATCTGAGAAAAAGCCGCGCAAGCAGAAGATAGTTGCTCAAAAGAAAATGAAAGATGCTCTGTTAAGTGAAGTCGCGGAAGAGGCTGTCATGGTGCTGAGGGGAAAGAAATGTGAAAGGAGAAAAAATGAGTTAAAGAAAATATGTGAAACAGCATTAAGTATGTTTTCTAAATTTGTATGAAAAATTTTTTTACCATGAAATCGTGAAAAGAATTCCTTTTCCTTTATGTAACAGATTTAGGAAATTTTTTCAGATAAACTTGGCGAGGATTTCCCGAAATTTGAAATTTTAATTGACGAAAATGTCGATGGTGTAACGGTAGAAACAAGCTCAAGCTCAGAAGGTGTACCAGTTGTGAGAATACCGTTGGGAACTGTTCCTAAAGTGTTACCTGTTGATGAGAAGCATCCTCAACGAGTATTTTTTGATTGTTCTGCTAAACAAAATGCTACATCACGACACTATATTATACAACATCAAATGGGTCCTGGAGAACCAACCACTGGTTATCTTCATTTGTTTGGAAGTGCGCTGTAACCCTAAAAATTTTTTAAATCTTTTTTTTAATGAAATTTGTTTGAGTTGTGTTATATTGTCTTTTTATTTAGTATTTCATTGATTTGTAATTTCATAATAAAGTTAAAATTATATTTTTCAAAGTTTATCATTTTATTTATAAATTTTATTAGAAGTGTTCGGCATACGAGCAGACCTTCTGATTCATTGGTATGTGAATACCCGTTTTCTTTTTAAACAAAGTGCTTGCTTTGGTAATATTTCTTCTAAATTATTTTGATTGTGTATGATGTGAATTTTACACTGTTGGATCCTTGGGAATGAAAGACGCATGCTACACCTTTCTCATTTATGTATTATTGCTATTAAACTTCTTATAACGTCTGCAAATATAGCGTTTTAATGTTTTTAATACTTAAGCTTTAAGCGTTTGTATAGTGAATTATAAATGATTTGTTGATCATGCAAGTTGATATCATTTTACGCCAGTATAATCATCTCCACACTTTATGTTTGAGCTCTGTATCATTTTTCTGGCATGAAATTGAATTTGCAAGTAGAAATATTGAACTTTTGATATTTCCATATACTTGTCTTTTTTTACAATTTTATTCTCTCTCATCCGAATTGTAGACATTTTGGATCACTGGTACTTTCTTGGAGAGCTGTTTCGTTTCTTACGATATGATTTTTTGATATTATAAAGTAGAAACATATTTTCGTATTCCTTCTAAACCCAAACTAGATTTTCTAAATTTGGGTAGAAATTGGTTTCCTATAGCTGCTTGAACAATGCATCTATTGATAAGTTTTACTGGCAATAACTAAGGATGATTCTATGAGATTTGTTTTCTTTATCTGAAATGCTAGTCAAAAATTATTTTCATTGTCAGTTTGTTTTCTTGCAGGCATGGATTTCTGTCTCCTATTATTCATTGTAATTGATTTGTAAAATTTTCTTCAATGCAAGTTCATGTGATATTTCATCTTGTTCTGATCTATTAAAAGTTCTCATCGAATTTTAGACACTTTGCATCACTGGTTCTCTCTTGGAGTAGAGCTGTTTCGTTTCTTGCGTTAATGCCCATTTACACTTCACTTCCTCTAGGCCTGAAAGCATTTATTAGCAGCAGAACTTTGCCTTCCTTTTAGCAATATAAGCGGCATATCTCCCCTCATATCTCTGTCGGCCTATTATTCTCGTAAACTGTGGTTAGTTGTGTTGAGCGCTGCATCAACCTTCGAAAGGGCTTGTGTAACAGTCACCATGTCACGCCTGACTGCGCCACGCTCGAACTTTTTGTCTGCCCCGTGCGGGGCGTTCAAAAATTGCCTACGACATCCATTTTTCAGGAGTCGCGGCGGGCAATTGGGTGAAAGTTTTCAACCAGCAATAAACGCACCTCGGCTAAGCCTCATTGGTCACGTTATCGCCACTGCGCAAAGCTGAACAATTTGCCGCAGTGGGAGTGATCATATTGGATGATTGTCAATGGCGAGTGGGTTGAGTGAAGAGAAAGGCAAGCAGCGGAAAATGAGGAAATAGCGTAGCTGATAGATAGACATTAGGAAGTGCAAGATGCAATTTTTCAAAGTTCACTTCGTGAGAGATTCCGTTACGCTTTGGTTTGTTATTAGCAGTTGAAATTCAACAAATCAAAAAGATTGAATGCTCACTGCCGGAAAGTATAACAGTTTTGAGCGAAATGAATGACTGCGATAGATGATATGGTGTAGTGATGATTCATCCGGTATTTAATGACGAGTACATTGATGATTCATGAAAAATAGAGTGGTTACGGGGAGTTTTGATTATGCGCCGAACACTTTCACCGGAGATCATCTTGGACACCTGCCAGGTTGCCATGTCAACTAAAGCATAGTTTAATTTATCCGTTCCTTTCTCTGTCGCTTATTTATTTCAGCAATTTGTCACTTCTCGAATTAAACCTAAATGCTTCATTTTTAATTGATTTCGAATTAAATTTCGACTACCAATTTATTAAACTTTATACCAATTTCGACCAATACTTGCAGGTTATTTTAATTACTAAAAAAAAGTCGTAGTAGGCTCAACATGGCAACAGTGGTAGAACTGACTATTGAGAAAATCGACGAGGTGAAATCTCGGCTTGGCAGGTATGCATTATTTCTCACAAAATTTGTTGTTATTAATAAATGAATTGCTGGGTTACACTTTGTGATGAATCCTAATAATCAGATTGGCATCATCTGTGCTACAGTTATAAACATTTTCAAGAATACAGAAGATGACTTAAAATGAAGTAGAAGTAAAAAAATAGGTTGAGATAGATGTAGAATAACATATGTATGTTATTCTACATCTATAAGATATATAATTTAAGTGTAAAGTAGAGTAACATTCACCATTGCATAGGTGGCTTTTGAATTTGTAGACTTTAATGATTTTTGACTTTTCCTTATTTGAAAGTTTTTTAACTTTCCATCCTTCTTTCCTGTATAGATCTTGTAAGTGATGTTTTACATGTAAATTTTCATTCCACATCTTCACATTTTTGGTTAACATATTATTTTTTTTAATATTGAATTCGTTTGCAGTTTTATGTTTTTTTAGAAATTTACTGCATTTGGGATGTTACAATTTGTGTAAGCTTTACGGTTTACCGTCTAACTTTATCGCTATTATCCCACGTTAAAGATTGATTTTAAATCTTTACAAGGGATATGAATTTTTTTACTACCTTCCTATAGGTATTGAACAGAGCAGTTCTGGAAAGTGTGAATATTAAAGGAATATGACATTTTATATTTTACAACAATAAACATAAAATTAATAGTTTTTGCAGAAAAACTAAGGTTTTTATGAGCTTTGAAAACACTGATAATTGTAAATTCCAATGGTTTATTCGAAATTGTAAAATAAAATGGATAGATAAAAAACCACGTGTTATTATATTAGTTTTGCCATATATACTTCAGACAGATGTATCCGAACCTTAGAAAGACTATTAAAATGTTGAGTTTATGGAATTTAATCATTTTTTACTCAAAGTAAAGAAATGTAGACATTATTTAAAGATTAGCTTTAAATTCCGAATAAAATTTACAACAATTTCTGAGTGTCATTAGGAAAGTATATTCATTTTATGCATTCAACTGTTATTATAGATCATTGGGAACGCCGATGCGATTGCGGGATTTGATACGTCAAGTACGAGCAGCTCGTACGATGGCTGAGGAGCGGGCTGTAGTTGATCGAGAAAGTGCAAACATTAGAGAGACATTTCGAGATGATGACAGTCCGTGGAAATGCAGAAATATTGCAAAACTATTGTATATACATATGCTAGGTTATCCTGCTCATTTTGGACAGGTAGACACTACAGTTAACTTTCGTCTCGACTCAGATATAGGTTTCTCTATTTCCCGCTTTAGTTTTGTTTAATTTATGGCGATATTACTCTTAATTGCTGCGTATCCCTTGTTTAAGTGATAGAAAAAAGTGAATTTTGTGTTTTGAAGTAAGCATTTAAAATGTGATGACAATTTTTCCTCTCTGTGATACTTAGAGCAGAGTTATATTGATTCTTTTACTCACTTTTATCTCAATCCATGAGTACTTTTTGTGCACAAACTATCAAGTAAATAATAAATTTATAAGATAATCGACATGTTACTAAAATGGCAGCGAACATCTCAAATTTCGTTATTCCACTTTGCTAAATTCTATGATTTCAAAGTTATTTCGCAGATGGAATGTATGAAATTAGTTGCGCAACCAAGATACACCGATAAGCGCATTGGCTATTTGGGTGCAATGTTATTATTGGACGAACGTTCAGAAGTTCATCTTCTTGTCACTAATTCTTTGAAAAAGTAATTCTAAAGTGTGATTTTGTGACATTACTTTTCATGGCACTTGCAGCATTGTATATTATATATTTTGTTTTATGCATTCTTAGCTGTTATGATCACAATAGATATTTTTTGGTTTGTATTTTACGTCGATGTTTCAGTGACTTGAATGCTTCAACACAATTCGTAACGGGCCTTGCTCTTTGCACATTAGGCTCAATTTGTTCGTCAGAGATGTGTCGTGATTTGGCTGGTGAAGTTGAAAGGCTAATTAAATCCAGTAATACCTACATTAAAAAGAAGGTAATCTGCTATTATGCATAGTTATTACGGGAGTTTAAGAAAATAATGAGTTGTAGAATATAGTTTTAGATAATTTTTACTTTTATCTGTTTCTGCAGCCTTATCATCGTAAATTGAAATATCTTAAAAAAGTAATTTCATTTAGGCAGCTTTGTGTGCCTTTCGAATCGTAAAAAAAGTGCCTGAACTCATGGAAATGTTCATTTCGTGCACAAAATCATTAATCAACGAAAAGAATCATGGTGAGGATCTTGCAACGCGTTTCACAGACAACTTCTTACTGAATCTAGAATAATTTCCTGAATTACATAGCTACGAATTTTTGTTTTTCAGCTGTTTTATGGTTAATAACTTCCATTTGTCAAGAATGTATAGTTTGAGGTACTTTAATTCCAGTTTTTAAATAGACTGTAATTTCACTCATGTTTTTTGTGTTTACAGCTTGAAAAAAAATGACAGTGGAAAAAGTAGAACCGATGTTATTTAGTAAACGTGTGATTAATATTTTGTTCATTATGAAATTGTAGGCGTGTTAATTGGTGGAATAACTTTGGTTACCGAAATGTGTGAGAAAAGCCCTGACGTACTAAACCATTTTAAGAAAGTTAGTTATTATAGCAATTTTATATTTAAAAGCTTTATTTCATACTGCTTAATTATGTGGCATTTTGAATACTTCTCAATCTCGGATTTCGTGTTCTTATTGCCCTAATTTCCACCTTGTTTTAGATGGTGCCGAATTTAGTTCGTATCTTGAAAAACCTTTTAATGAGTGGCTATTCACCGGAACATGATGTGACGGGTATCAGTGATCCTTTCTTACAGGTCATTTGTTCATACATTATTTTAATGAATAATTCTTATATATTCCGTTTAATTTTCGCAGCTTATGTATGATTTTATTTTGCTAATATACTTTTGTTGGAATGATATTTGCATTCGTTAATAATGTTTTCTTAAATTCAGATTAAAATCTTGAAATTACTGCGTATTTTGGGACGCTATGACGCGAAAGCGAGTGAGGAAATGAACGATATCTTAGCACAGGTTTGTATGGAACTTAATGAACCAGTATAAAAACAGCGTTGAAGACCGTCTTAGCGATATTTATTTAAACCTTTATATTCATTTTCCAAGTATTTCAAATTAACTGTAAAATTTAAGGTAGCTACAAATACAGAGACGTCAAAAAACGTTGGTAATGCTATTTTGTATGAAACGGTGTTGACAATAATGGAAATACGGAGTGAAAGTGGCCTTCGTGTTCTTGCAATTAATATTCTTGGAAGATTTTTATTAAGTCCAGATAAGGTAACTTTTTGTTGTTATTAGCTAACTGTGTATTTAAGGATAAATTTAAAAAATTATGAAATTAGAATTCATGAAATCGGAAAGTGAGTTTTTCCAGAATATTCGATATGTTGCATTAAACACTTTGTTAAAAACAGTGTTCGTGGATTATAATGCAGTTCAAAGGCATCGTACAACAGTTGTTGATTGTCTAAAGGATCCAGATGTATCAATTAGAAGGTTTATGATTTTTGGTTTTGAATGTATATGTACTTTTACAACTACTGTAATCATTTTATAAATTTTTTTTTCAGACGTGCAATGGACCTTTGTTTTGCGCTGATTAATCAGACAAATATAACAAACATGACGAAAGAAATATTGATATTTTTGGAAACTGCCGATCCTGAATTTAAAGCAGAATGTGCCTCAAAAATGTACATTGCCACTGAAAAATATTCACCCAATTACGGTTGGCATCTTGACACGATGATCAAAGTGTTGAAATTGGTGAGCACATTTTATGATCTATTTCAAGCTGTGAAAAATGTGCTGTGTTTTTATGCATATCAGAAAGAATGAATCTCAAACGCAAGTTGTAACTTTAATTCAAGATTAGGTGAATTTAAGGAATTTTGCATGGGTCAAATTTAAGATTGTTAAGGTTGTTTATACTAGCAAAGTTAGATTTTTTGCAGGCAGGTAATTATGTGCCCGACGAAGTAGTTTCATGCATGATTCAGCTGATTTCATCACACACGGAACTACAGCATTATGCAGCCATACAACTTTATCGAGCCGCACAGGCTGATATTGTTAATGCCCAGCCACTATTACAAGTAAGTCATACAGCTGCGTGAAAGTTTAAATGGAAGTGTAGATATTTAATTGCTGTATGAAACTTGCTTGACGTGCACAGATATGATATAAGTTAATATTGCGGAATTTTGATCATGATTCTAATTCTATTTGTCTTTTAATAATGGAAAGTTTTATTGAGCAGTGCATACAAAAGAAGCATGAATTCCATTTGAATCAGATGTTAATTATATAACTATATGAAAGGAAGTTTTATAAATTCTAATTCTTGCTTTAGGTAGCGTTTTGGACGATTGGCGAATTTGGTGATATCATACTTCAATTGAATGATGATGACGTACTGAAGGTCTGCTTTGAGCTTTCTTTATATAAGGATACGGTTATTGAATTTAAATATTTCAGGATTTTAACTTTTTTTGCAACATTTTTGATTATAAGTACTCTTAACTTTATGCAAAGCTTTAACTAGTTTTTGTTCAAAGGTGGAAGAATCGAGCATTATCGATGTCTTTGAACGTGTGCTACCAAGTAATTTGACAAATATTATAACCAAGTCATATGCGTTAACTGCTTTAGCAAAACTGGATACAAGATTTAACGAGACAAATAAGTATGTTGTTCAAAAAAATCGCTTATCTTTGCTTGTGCATTGTTAAAAGAATAATATATTTCTGATTTTTTGGATTCCAAGAATTTGAAAGAATTTATAAGCACGTCGTCTCGGATTAATTCATATTCAGTTTACAAGTATTCATTTTTCAAAATAACATTTGAATTTTTTGTTATAGTCGGATTCGTCAGATGATTGAGTCAAATAAGGGACATCTTCATCTCGAACTTCAACAACGATCAGTTGAATTTTCTCGTTTGTTGAATTATGGGGAATTGAAGTAAACTTTTCCATAATTTTTTCTTTCATACGCAGATGCAGCTTGACTTAATGTATATTATTGAGCATTTTATGGCAATTCGATATTTGCATACAAAAGTATTTCAAATAATGTCCGAATATTCGTGTTCTGAATATATTTAAAGCATTCTGTTAACTCTGCTGTTTAATTACATCAATGTGGAAGTGAGAAATGAAAAATTGGAAAATTAGGAAATTGGAAAGTGGGGAATGCATTAGAACGATGAATATTGGAACATGAATTATTCTTTTTAAAAACCAGTAAGATTTTATCTGCTATTTAATTCCTTTATATAGATTTGGCGTTTTGGAAAGAATGCCTATTATTACACACAACACATTGAATGCAGCTGCACAACCAATTGAAAGAGATACCTCAATAAATGAAGCTTTTACAACTGAGAGCAAATCAGAAACCACTAATTTGCTGGGGGATCTTGAAGCGCCACCATTATTGGAATCTTCAGAAAAAATGGTATTGTGTTTTTATCATTTTGTTAGTTTTGCAGTAATATCTGCAGAATTGATTGAGCGACACGAAAACGATCGATTCGACGAACGTATTTTTATCTTGGATTCTTGCTATCCATGTAATCAATTTTAGAAAGTAGCCGAGCCTTCGGATTTGCTTGATTTAATGAATCTTGAAGCAAACATTAATGGTCTAATACCTGCAGAAATTGTGAACGGCACCAAAACGATCGATTTGATGGACGGTATTCTTATTTCTATAATTAAAACAGATTTTCAAAGTCCAAAAAATGAATTGATTTATTTCTCTCAATAGTATAATTCAAATACTGCAATTCCTGTTACTCACGCCTTCAACTTTTTTCTTCCTGTTTTACCTGTTTTTTCGCCACTGCTTTGAAGAACCCATCGATTTTCAAGTATATCTATGAAAGATATAAGATTTTCTTCCATCTTTTTGTTTATATAGGTTTGATTAATAATTCTTCGACAAATAAAATATTTTCAAAACCAGCAGCATCAACATTGAACGATTTGGACCCTTTCGACTTATTTTCAACGTATGTTTCCATTTCTATGATGTTTCGAAGTAATTCATCTGCATTATATTTTCATACGTTTAATTGATTTCAGTTTTCGCTTGTCGATATATTCATAGTTTCTTTTTCGAAACTTTATAAATTCATGATACAGGGATGCACCCAAAAAAACTTCACAGCCTTCAACGATGGCAATTAATACTAATGGCATCGAAGGTGTTCTTTATGTCGATAGTGCTTTCAATGAGAATAGTGTGGCAGCATTGAGGCTTCTCGTCACTAATAATAATCCTTTACCTGTTGAAGCTTTCAACTTTCAAGCAGCCGTTACCAAGGTTTTTTTCTTTGTTAACATTTTTATGTATGGAGGGCATTTTTTTATGTAATGAAAATTAATAATACACCTACACTTTCAGCAGTATCTCTTATGTTTTTGCTTTTCCAGGATTTTTTATTTTATCGTTAGATTTTATTTAAACTTCATTTCATTGTTTTTATTTCATTCTCGTTCTCGGAAATAAGAGAATCACCCTATCGTCATCGGTTTATTAATAAAACTAATGAAAAGGAATATATAAATTCAAGTCCGCTTTCTTTTTCTTTACTTTATTTTTCTTACTTCAACGTTATAATACATGATTTTCAGGCGTTTCAAATAGAGTTGTTACCTCCATCTAGTTCAAACTTACCAGCCAATCGACAGGGTACGATCATACAGATGATAAACATTAGAAGGATATCATCTTCCCATCCAGTAAGTACTTTCATTGTTAAGGATCACTTGGTTAAAATCAATTTACAAGATTTCAGTTAGGGTTCATTTTTTTTAACTTCGAAATTTTTTAAATATTTTTTTGACATCTCAAACATGAACTTTCGATTCTAGAAGTATTTTGTTTTTTCAGTTGAAAATGCGGATCAAGGCATTTTATAATATCGATGGGCGACAGCAGTTAATAGAATGTCTGGTGCCAAAAATTGAAGGATTAAGCTAATATGCTGATTAAGTATTACGAAGATTTACCGTTGTCATCTGTTGTGTTTACATAGTATTCTTTTACTTACAAGTCTTTATTTAGACATATTTTCAGTTCGAACAAATTTCAACTTCAATAATGGCTATAGTTTGAAAAAATGGATGATATCAGTAAAATTAAAAAACTTACTTAAATACTGTTATTAATATATTAAAAGATCTACTATGCAGTTAAAACTTGTAACTTTTGGTTCTTTTAGTTATGTATGGAAGTATTTAATTTCAGTTTTTCTGGTCTGATGAGAACAAATTTCATGTGAGCTTCATAGGAAAAGATCATATTCGGAAATATCTTATAGAGAAAATTAGAAAGAATTATAGGATTACATAATTTTACATTGGAGTATTGTCAATAATTCGCTTTCAAATATGATAACATATGCCAAAAAATGTCTCTCAAGATTTTCGGACCCTTAATGCCAGTTAATTTTTTTCACCTCAGACACTAAAATCAGTTAATCAGTTAATTCTTTAAGTTAAAATAAATCAGTTAATTCTTTAAGTTATTTAGAAAGGCAATGTATCGGTTTATGATCTAACAGCATAAAAAATGAACTTATTTAGTTCTCATATATTTAATTCTCAATTATTTAGAGCACAATAAATAAATGAGAACTAAGTATCTAGGAATTTTCATTAGACAGTAAATTAGTCGAAATGAAGAGTAGTATTCCTCACTCAGCTTAATCTGTGCATTTCGTCCAAACTGAATCATATCTTTACTCTTTATTTATAAAAATAATATGAGAATAGTTTTTATTTAATGAAGAGCTTTCTTGTTACTTAAAGTATAAATTTAACTTTGATAAAACTTGTAACTATCGCAGATTTGTGTGGATAAAATTTCAGGCTAATTGTTCATCTGGGTACAGCGATTGTCCATGATTCAGAGGACACCCCTCAAACGGCTTCAACGTTTATGATATTGTAGGTCTTTTATTTGTTACCACTGTTGATTTCATTGTCTGATTTATTCATTTCTTCTTCGAATTTTAATTTCCGGGTGTATCAGTTTGCAGATTATTGAGCTTGTAGTAGCGATTTTTACCGCTTATTTTGAGGTTTATTTTAATGTGTTTTAAATTGAAATAATTCCGAAGCACTCGAAGTTGTCGTCGCCGTTGTATTATTTTTGATGTGAATTTTGGTTTCTTTTGTTGGTTTGTGAATTTCCAATTGCAGGATTTTGAAAAACTACTTTTTTAATTCCAAACTTTATGCTGCTTCAGCTAGAAATACTAACTTCAAGTCGAACAATTATTTGTATTTTTTTTTTTGGAAAAAAATCTTGAAGCCTTAATTTAATGACGATTTTATAATATTAAAAGGTGCATGTAGCTCTCAATTGTTCCCATTTATTATGAACTAAAAACGAAGTCTTGCTTTATGCTATTTCATATATCGGCAAGCTATTAGGATTTTTAGTTTTAGCAGTGGCAATATAGGTACTGCTCATTATTCACATCTTTGGCTGTTCCGCTTTATTCTGCATAGAGCGCTAGAATAAAATATTTAGAAAAAGATAATGAGATAGAAACCAAATTTTATCAACTAAACTTTTCAAAATAAGAAATAGAGTTAGAAAAGAAACAAGTGAGTTTATGAAAACTTCTAAGGCCAAAGTTATATTCAGCCGTTTTTCATTATTTTAATGTATATAATTCCGTAACTGTATTTCACTTCTTTATCATGTTTTATTTAACAGTGATCAAAATGTTGTTGTGATGAGGGCTTGATCTAAAATTTTTAACACTGATTGGAAAATTCTGGTCCCATAGAATCAGATAGATATTAGGTTACTATTCTGAGACTTGATATATTCCCGATAACTACTTATTTTTTAACGTCTTCATCGCTTCTTCCCTCATGTTCCAGCACTTTTCATTTCATTTTTTTTATTTAGCCAAGTTTTTTTGGGATTAAATACATATGTTTTTATAATGATATCGACATTGTGATAAGAGGATTGATAAGCACCCATATTTATTGTGTTTAGTATCACAAACATCGATGGGAATTCACATTTATACATACGTACATGTTTACTGTATGGTATAAATGATTTCGCGGAATAGGTGGATAATCAAATCTATCAGATGACATGGTTTTTAACTGTTGACTTCTATCCAAAAATACTACAGTTAGAAATTTAGTTCTGAAGATCTCATCCTATATTTTAGAGGTTTGTATTTCAATCGTTCATTTATCCTGTGTTTCAGTCATTTTGGAAGACATTTATAATATAGTTCTGTTGGGCGGACAATAAATAAACAATATGAAACGCTCCGGTTGACATGTGAGATGCCTTAGTATTTCGTTGAAAATTTTATTATTATATTGGTATTCAATAGTTCATGAGCCGGCTCTATCGATGAAACGTTGCAAATGATCCAAAATATAGATGTTTCTCAGTCACATTGTAGACGTTCTAGATACTTTTTTAAGCGGTGTGATAAGGTGTGCAGGTATAGTTTTCTTGAAAATGTTTAGCAGACAATTCTTGTATTCGATTTGCACTCCCAGGTCATTATATAAAATAGGATTGCTTGGGTGGTCGAGCAACTTAAGTGCCACAAGTATGACCAATGCGGATGAAGTATGGGATGTGAGAATTAGTGAGTTCGGTCACAAATACAGTTGATTTGCGATGATAAAGTTCCCAAATGAAATACGGCCTCCTTCGATCGACCACCAATCCAGCACATTAATCAATCATTGCCATTTTTAAGCGTTATTTGATCTCTTGGCTTTTTTTTTTCTTGGCAATTTTCTTAGCTGAAGAGTATTGGGAGGAAGGAAACATTTTCTGTTAACTTTCTCAAATCTAACGCATTAACCTTCCTGAGGTTTGTATTGAAATGAGAAAATTCGAATTTTGAGACGTTTTGTCATTTGCAAAACCGAGTTTCCGAATAATGTGCTTACCCTTTGCGTTGCCACTTCTGTTTCTTGGGATTTTGCTTTTTTATTAAACAGTTGAAATCATTACAACATAACACAATGCAGAAAAATATACAATAATAATAATAATAATAATAAAAGTTGAAGAGTTATTACAAGTAAATATAATAATTATGAGGGTTTGTGCTTCGCAAGGTTCAGAAAATGCTTTTGCGAGTAAGGACGAAACAACGCCAAATGGGAAATGAACGGATTTCCCGAAAGTTTAGATGCACTTGTATTACACGATTTTTTCACGAGACTTTAAACGAACAAATTCTGTAGAATTACAAACTGACTTGCATATATGATATATATATATATACATATATGTATATATAGACGAATTTTGGCAAATTTGCATCAGAATATAAAGCATATCGCTCACGAATAACCAATGATTTGCGAAAGGCTTATTGAAATGCCATCTGGCAAAAGAATTCTTATCAAGTTACTTTACAGAAAGACGCACCATCAATAGATTCGCTCAATGAGTATGACGTACCAGGCAACGGATTACCATACCAAGGCTAAAACCTGATTTAATTTGATAAGGATTTAATCAAGCTTCAGTAAGAAGAAAATAACATTATTAATTGTTGAATGATGCAAATTTATATTGGGATATATTTTCTCTCTGATTGTAACATATATCATTTTAACACACATTCTCTTCTCTATGTTCTTTTGCTTTGTTATTAATCTGCAGAAAACGACACATTATTATGGGCGGATTTTTACAAGGAAACTCCGAATCTCTTCCGGATCAACGAATTTAGAAAAACCCTAAAGATGACTATCTCTATTATTGGCAAATCGCTTATAATTGTCCTACAAGAAAATCTATACTAAAGAAAAAATCAACGTTCACCAAATATTCAACTGTGTCAAACCAAAACTCTCCCAAAAAAAAGAAAAAAGAAATCACAACATGAAGATGAGAAACATGATGACCAGTCATGGAAGTTCATAGCGACCCATTCAGAATGATTATAGAAATTGATCTTTTAATGACTACAAGAGAAGTTGCAAAAAAACTCAACTGCCTATTGAGCTAATTGAAATCGTCGTAAGATGTTCTCTCATTCTTCATAATAACAACGGCTCATTTCCGACCGATTACGTAAAAGTGGATTATGCATCTCTTGGGGTGAAGTTCGATGGATAGCAGTCACTCAACTTTCCAAATTCGTGAAATACTACATCTCAGCATGCTTAATAAAGGTGCCTTCAATATGCATACATTAACGGAAACGGCTCGATTTCCTTTACAGCACTACTTGCCTACATACTAAATGGAGGCTGAATGAATCAGACTGTGAAGACTATCCAATATGATGTAAAAGTTTCAAAAGTTTCCAAAAGTTAGATTTCGAAACACAAGTTTCCATGCTGCAGGAATGGACAAACTTCTTTGTTGGCAAAAATCGCCGACTGTTATAGCTCTTATCTCAATTAAAAAAATTAGACGTCTTTACTGTCATTATATTCAAAATTTTGAAACTCACTTAAAAGCAAAATTACTTCTACATTCATCTATCATTTAAGAAGAACAACAAACAATTTTTATAAAATTCAGGATACGAATGTAAATGACGTGTACTTCAATTGAATTCAAACGATAAAGAGCGTAGAAACCCACCTCAAAACTGTAATTATTCCAGAAGGCATAATTTTGCCAGATTGGATGAAACGACTGCCCATCACCAATGCAAGGACAGAACTAACAGCTGTAAAATATATTGAAATTATAATATGTGAATACATCATATAATAAGACATAAGAAAAACGCTTGAACCTGATAACTGTTGAAAAGCAATTCTAAAAACTTCAGATGATAAATTAATGAGTGGGCAGCCACGGCAATTTATTTTGTCTCAAATATATTTCATTACGTCATAAAAATAGTCGTCTTAAACTAAAAGGTAAATTTCGACTAGTAAGGTACAACAATTCTTCAATGAAAGGCTTTTCGTCCAGAAATTCTCATCCTGAAGTTTTCAGGATGAGAATTTCTGGACAAAAAGCCTAATTCTTATCCAAATTCTCATCCCGAAAACTTTCAATCAAAGTTTTCAGTACTTCCTATGTAACTCTTCCGACTTTGATATCCAGAGTAAGAACAACAAAATACGATTAATGAAACCTTAAAAACTCACCTAAAAGCATGGGATTGTTGCGGGAATGAGCAGCAAAACCAGCAGCACCTCCAAAAACGAGTCCAGCTGCTAGCGACATAGTACTGCCTAAAACAAAAAAACTTAATCCTTGTTATACGAATTTCCTCACCACTTAGGCTATTAGAATTCCTAAATAAACATAGAAATCACAAAGATTTGAGTGATTCGGGCAACCAATCAACCTTGGTGATAGTCATAATAATATACGATAATAATCGAAAAAGCATTAAAATGACCTGCTTTGAAGTAGCCAACCAAACCACCAACTATAATAACGCCGGCATAGAGGTGATCTACTAAGTCGCTCGTATTCATATCTGCAATATACTCTTCATGTTATTATCCTTCGTGTAACACTCATTTGTTAAAGAATGAAATTAACAAATGGAAAACGCTCAAAAAAAAAAATGAATTTGAGAGGATATTAGATGCGACAAAACGATCTAAAAATAATGTAAAACTAAGATCAAAATTTATAGAATACCATGGTGCTATAGCAAACATTATAAAAATGAAATTTGGAAGATTTAATGGTTGAAAAAACGACGGAGATTGTGAATAACACAAACGATATGACACTATGACAATATAGAAAGCGAAAATACTGTAAAAAGGAGTAGAAAACGAAGGGACAGTTACCTTGACCTAGCTGACATCTCCCACCACTTTTATTATTAAAAAAACTTGCAAACTGACATTAATTATCGATTTTCCCTTTAAGTGCAGTATTTTGCATGCAACGAACATTGCAACAAAGATTGCAAGGATGAAGTGGCAGAAAGAAGACTCGGAATTGTTATGCAAATGTACCATTGTTTGGATGGATGTTTAGGTTGGATCGTTTGTGCTTTATTTTATTGTCTTTCTGCTTTCTTGTTTCAAAAACAGTGCAAAGAGTGCTGAAAAGACTGAATATTTCATAATAAGAATATGAAGGAAATACAAACGACTCTTCCAAACCTTTTTGCGCCACATTTTCGAGCATCAATTTCTTTTAATTTCTATTTAGAATTTATTTGATCACTTCTCAGGTAAATACACCTTGCAAGACTGAACTCAATTACTTGCCGTCGCTTACTTGTCCTCTCTGAAGGATTCATCCAAGCGATCTCTCTCCTTTAAGATTTACGATCGAAGATAAATTTTGCAACAAAGTGTATAAATCCAATTTTTATTTCATTTGTTACTTGTCATTTCAATATAAGCAAACTTTTTTCCCTCTTTAGAAGTAAAAATTTCAAGCAAAAAAATATATATAATCCACATTCGAAATGTAATCCATATTATAGAAGGGACTTGAGGTGTTCGCATTTGTTTGAGAGTTCAACTAAAATGAGAAATTTATGGATCATTGAAGCTGGAAAATGTATTCGGCGAAGAATAGGAAGTTTTTGTCGTATTGGATGAGAAATAGTTCTACTTTTTTTTGCCAGATTTTGCCAAAAAATAAAAACAAATAAATAAATAAGATTAAGGACTACCCGAAATTAGACATCACTCAATTTTCAAACTTTTAATACAGTTCTATGGATTTTATTAAATTTCCAGTCATATTTAGAAAATTCTTCTGTTAGCTTTCTTCGTTGTTGGAATAAATTCACTACTAATTAGTAATAATAGCGAAGTCTATGCTTCTTTCTTCTTTATGGAAAAATAGATTTCCAAAAAAATTTATTTTTCAAATTCTAATTGAAATTTTTCAACTGTGAAAGAAATTTAAGAAGGAAAGAACGGTTGGAATGAAGAAATTTTTAATTATTTTATTGCAATCACTTTGAGGAGAATGAATTTTTCTAGAAAATTTTGCTAGAAAGTTTTTAGAGAAATGTAATTGAATTAATTTTTCTACCGAAAACAATTTTTAGAAAGTATTCTTTGGGAAAAAGAATAACATAATGTTTTTATTTTTGTTCTCCAAAAATTCCAACGAAGGAAAATGTAACTTTCTAATAAAGGCGTGGTTTGAAATGTAGTTTAAAACTCATTGGAAGAGAAACTGTTATATCGGTCGGTATGTGACCTTGATGTCTCAGAATGAAATGTTGGAGAAGGTAGTGCCACCCCGTTGAGATCTGTTCTAAATTATCTACGTACACACACACACACACATACACACACATCCACATACATATACATACATACATATACACACATACATACGCATACCAAGGGGGGCCGAAAATTTCTACATTTGTTACAGATTGGAAATGTTGATACTGTTTTCATCATATGACTTCTAATATGTGTTCAAGTGTGCTAAACAGAGCAATGTCCTAACTCATTTCTGGATAGATTCTATGCAAATTCACTTTCAGATTATTTCTCACTTTGATTGCTTTGCATAGCAATAGAGCAGATATATCCCGCACTTTTACCTTTGTTCTGGAATAAAAAGAAGCGACCACAACTGAATTGACTAATAACGAATTCAACTTTGTCAATTAACGCTTTGAATTGTTTTGTATCGTTTTGTTAACTCGTTAGGATACATATGAAAAGTCTCGAATTCAAACATATTTTCGGAGCATCAAACATTTTAACCCAATGATTTTATCTAGGGAATATTAAATATTTTTAATTTTTAATTTACCTGATTTTCTTTTACCAAGAAATATAACTTTACTGCACTCTTCTCTATTCATCTTCTGCAATATTCCAACAATGTTTTCGATCAAAATTTCCAAATTTCCAAAAATCATCACAGATTTTAGGCTTTTTCATAATTTCACTGATGCCGTCGTTTAGTAGTCAGCATTTTAGTGTAAGTTTAATTCTGTCATTGTTTGTAATATATTTAACAAATTTTCAATGTAGACATCTAAAAATTATTCATTGAATTTTTTAAATTGATTTAAAAAAAATTTTCGAGAACTTTTTCTTCTTACGAAAGAATTCTTTGCTGTCCGTTATTTGTTGTGATAAAACTCCGGAATATTTTTTTCCTTTCTCACTGATCCTCAACTGATCGCAACTTTTCGAATTCATCTTAGGATATATTTGCTTTCAAATATTATTGCATATTAGAAAAAAATGTTGAAATGTTCCAGAAGAAGGGACAGCCATTTCTTTCTCCCTTCAACAAAGCTAATAAGTAACAAAAGTTGAAAATTTTTGAAATTAGAAAATTCTTATTATGTTAATTAACAATCATAATTTTTCAAAATATTCATTTTGTTGATTCAAAGTCATTGGCACATTTATTGCGTTATTATGATTAATAACTAGTAAGATTGAAATTCAGCAAAGATGGCTGGACAACTGTCTAATTCATTTTTTTTCAATTCAAATTTCTTTTCAAATTTTTATGTTTTAGTATTGCTGATTTCTTGAAATCGTCGCAAAAAACTTAATCGAATAATAGCCATAATTAGTTTATTTAAAATACCTGTTCACTATTACAATTATATTAATTATTATGCTATGTAATCATTATTATAATCATAATTGCTTCTGTTTTGCAACGTTTGCAATGGCTAAAGTGACTAAGATCGAATTGAAAGTAAATAATAATGTGTTTTCTAAAATCTAATATTGAGATTAAATTGTTGGAAATAGAATCCTATTATTGTCTTAACTCTTTTAAAAAAACTCGCTTTATTTTCTTAATTGATTTTAATATCGTTTTACAAATAAAAAAGCTTATATTTCTAATTTGCTTATACTTCATTGATCGCTACAAGAAGGCGTAGCAATATATAGAGAGCAATTTCACATCTCACTTTCATAATTTTTCATTAAATTTCCAATTACAACAATTCAGCGTCAAATGTTGAATAAATGACAATCTCAGATGAATGAAGTCTATTGCATAGTATGCAAAAAGTATTGGAAGTAAAGGAGAGAATGGGAATGAAATGAATTGAACACATTTTTTATCGTCTGATGTCTGATGGTTTCTGTGAAAAGATTCAAAAGCTAACTTTCAAATTATGTTTAGCTGAACAGATTAAATTTTTAAGAAAATTATTATTCAAAAAATTGAAAAGTTGCTGTTTTCATTTACATTGGTATTTTAATTTAACCTTTTGTCTTTTGGCTGATTACCATTGTATATTCATTTATATTACATTTATATCTCTAAATAGATCACATCAGATCACATCACAAATGTGATCCGTAGTATAATATATGATCTGAAGCAAATTCGGAGGTTATCTATCATTTTACGGTAACTACGAGATAATTTTATAACTTAATCATTAATTTATGATTGTGATCAAAATTTTTGCATAATATGCTTGATAGTTTTATATATCTTCGGAAAATTCGCTGATTTTTCATTTTATAATGGTAAATTTAACGTTTGGTTTATAATCACTGATTTGATAAACTATGATGACAAGAGTGTTTAATAGAATTCTTCACTATATAACGAGTTCGGATCTATTTGCGAATAACTTTCTAGTTTTAGAGGCACTTGAAATTAATATTCAAGATTTGATAAGCTATGATGACAATAGTGTTTAATAGAATTCTTCAATTAATTATTTCATCGCATTTAAAATAATGATGGAAACTTTTAGGAATAAGATATTAATTCACACAATAGATCTGATCATTCATTTATAAAACAAAAGAAAAGATTTAATTTTATGGCTAACATCTTTTTTTGATAAGAATCATTGGTGTTACGACAATTTTGCGAGATATAAAATAATCCATTCATTATTAGTTATCTTTTACTCTTTATTTCTATTAACTTTTCAAGCTATTTTTTTGTAAATAAAAATAATATAAAAATCTTTGATTCTGTGGATTCGATCAATTTTCTAACTCAAATTTATATTATTTTAGATGAAATTAATCGTTTTTTTTTTCTCTAATATTAAACATTCTTAAATTAAAAATGAAAATTTCCTTTAATATTTATTTCGAATTCAAATTTTTGATAATTTTAAAAGATTTTTTAATGTTCACTTTATAACGTTTGTTTCTTATCAAATCAGTTCTTTAGCTGATATGACTTATCAACTTTATCCATTTCGCACTTATCATCTCTAATGATTTTTATCATAACATTCTAATTCCTTATTTTAAGCGTTAGTTGAATATATGCGCTTTATCAAAAATTGTAAAATTTCTGCTTCTAAGAGAATGATATTGATATCATTCAGAGCTGTTTGAACCGAGCAAAAAAAATCGACCAGAAAGAAATCAAATATTATAGTGCCATTGAATGTCGGTAAGTTGTTCAGCATTGCATCAAATAGTTCCGCCATCTACCAGAAATTCCGGCGATGAATTAACAAATGGGACCTTTGATTCTGCTGATACATTGAGTAGCAGTGTAGATTCATTGATAGCACCAGAACGTGATGATCTGGATTTCCGGATTCAACAACGACTGGAAGCATCTCGGCAAGGGATGTTGCAGCTGGAAGTGCTTCGTAGCAAACATCAAAAATTGATGAAGGTTAGAAATGTTTTTAATTTTTGGTTCAAGCACTTAATATGAATTTAAAAAATATTTTGAGTGCGTTCTTAAAAATAAAAAAATAAATGGGGAAGAATCGAACCTGTAAGCAATATTTTCATTTTCAATATTGAAAAAGAAAATAAATTTAACCTAATGGTAAATTAGATTTAACTGAATCAGATTGTTATCAAAGTTATCATAGAGGTAAGTTAACATTCTGAATGATAAATCTGCAAAAAGTAAATTACAACTTTTGAAGACAAGGTTGAAAACGAATATTTAAAATTAACTTTATTTAGCCGATTTTGAATTAAGTAATACTTATAAAAAAAAAGCTTAATAACTTCTCAGAAAATAGTTTCTTATGAAATTATTTAGGAATCTAGGAATCTTTGAGGTATCACAATTATTTCAGTTCAATTTTTTAAAGAAAATCTTACTTCTCAAATTTGTATGTAATTAATTCACTTCCAGTTTTCTAGCCTTAAAAAAAATTTATGAATTTTGCAAAATTTCAATTGCTTTTCAAGTGACTACTTTCAATAAAGCTAATTAGTAATGGGTTATCTCTCGCTTTAATTAGAAATTCGTTAAAAGTCAAAGGTCAAGAATTCTATAACAATCACCAATTATGGCATTGTACTGAAAAGAAATGTCATAAGCCAAACAAAGTTAAACATTAATTATTATTAAAGCAATCATTTATGCTACGATTAATATCATTCTTCTGACGCCCAAATTTCCTTTTTTAGATGAAATTTTAGAAATACCAACTATCGTATATAATATGCATATAAATTTCCTGTATCCGAATAACAAACTTTGTGCTATCCAAATTACGTATTGAATTCTGAAAATTAAACTACAAATTATTATAGTAAGACATTCCTTAAGAATCTGCTTGCAATAAATGAATTTTTATTCTCAAATATTGGATAATTTTAAATGTTGTCGTCAAAAATTCATTTTGCAATAACTTCATTAAGGATTTTAAATTCTGTCAAAAGAGTTTTTTTCATTTGATTATTTTTCATTTGGTTTTGTTAATTACTGAAAACCTAAGCCATTTTTGTTATAAATTTAATTTGCATGATTTCTCTCACCAATTATCTTTTACTTAAATAAATATATATGTATTTGATACGAGAAATTTTCAAATTGTATAAAATACATAGATAATATTGCAAATAATAATAAAATAAATATTTGTTGGATGATTAAATTCTTTCTTCTACTCCTTAAATTTTTCAAAAAAATTTAAGAATTAAGAGACAGTACAATTAGGAAGGTAAATGATAATTTATCTAAGTAAATGCGAAATAAGAATATTTTCTTAGACTTAGAAATAATTAGGAATATTGATAAATTAGGATAAGAAATTCTAAAATGAAATTGTATATTCATGTTGAAATAATAATAATTTTTATTTCTATATGATTTAACTGATAAGCATAACATGTGGAAAGAGTGAAACGACAATTGAAGCTTATTTGAAAACTGAATTATGAATTTCAATTGATTGACAGAATTATCTATTCGTTGATATTAAGTAAAAAGTAAAAGTAATTGAAATTTCTTCCAAAAATTCTAAAAAGAAAAAATAATTAAGTAATTAACAAAAGTTTTGTACTTTCAAACGAGTTGGAATTCTTATTTTTTTTATCGCTGATATCACGTTTGGTTTTTTTCTTCAATGTGCATCATTTACGATGGCATAAATAATGTCACAAGCTGCGGCATTTCATTTAAAGTGATGATTTGTATGGGATTACGATACCTGAAAGGTATTTGTCCTTATTAGTCGCCGAATACAAAAATAGTTATAATTCGACATTCTTCATCAGATTAAAGTTGGCACTGAACGTGAATTACTTATCTAATATTGTCATATTAAAGAATGAGAAGAGTAGGCAAGCCTTATTTGTCATTGACATGAAAGTAATTTTAAAATTTTTAATTTTATATTCACTACGAACGTTCTGAATGACAACAAAATGAAATAATTGAAGTAGTGATTGGTTAGAAATCTGAATGAAGTAAAAGTGAAATTGTAGAAAAGTAAATGATTAGCATTCATTGGAATTATCATTTATTTGCATGCTCTAATATGTGCTACATGTCTTCGTTTAAATGAAGTTCAATTGTTGATTATTTTTCTTTTTAGGAAATGCGTATTCGTTTGCCGCATAGGAATAGTGAGGAACGACCACGTGATGGTTTCGGAAAGCACAAAGAATTATCAATTGTAAATTCTCAAACTGAGGTTAGCTTTACTTTTTAAATCCATACGATTTATTTTTTGACCTCCCGTGATTCTAAAGATTCGGAAAAAATGAAATAATAGAATAAGATGAATCATTGGGTGAAGAATAAAAATTGGAAAAATATCCTTTTTTAGTCATATTAGACAGGTGTTAATATTTTTTGGTTTTTGATTAGTAATGTCAAAAAGCACTGATAATTTGTAATGAATGTTCTATTTGAATCCCATCCGAAATGCTTTAATTCATTTTACTCTTTTGTGGAACAAAGTATGAATGAATTTCATATCATAATGATATATTTCACAAAAGACTGTTACATTTCAAAGAATTTTGCAAGATTTTTGGAGAAAATTCTATTTTGCTGACCTCGTTTATGCTGATGAAAGAGAAGAATATAGATTTTGATGAGAAATATGAACTGTGCATCTTTTAAAATTTGAAATTATCTGGTGATACTAAATATTATTTCATTGTTCACCTCTCTTCAATCGCTTGTCTATTTGTCCGGTTTTGTCTATCTGTTTTGATAAGAAAAGATAGCATTATAGTATTGCTCTGGTCACTATCACTAATGCAATTTGTGTTTTATTCTCATTCCTTCAACATCCCTAATTATATGACATTGGGGAAGTTAATCCGTTCTTGTACTGCTGACCTCATTCGTATGGGTAGCAGCTGTTATAATAATGATTGAAGCGATCAGTTAGTTGATTTAATGATAAAACTGGCAATTAGTGCACAAAGAGAGCATCATATTTCATAATTGAATTATTTGATCATAATGGAGTTGCATGATATGATATGATATAATGCTGACAGGTCATCTCTTTAAATTTTTATTATATCTTCAAAGTTTGTCATATTTTTGTGGGATGTTAATTGATCGCAGCTTTTTGTAAAATTGATATCTTTCTTCAACAAAAGCATTCGGTCATTTGCACCAAAAATATAAAATGGAAAAAGAAAAGAATGAGAAAATTGATTGTAAAGCTCTAAAGAAAGTGAAAAAATGAATTACTATCAATAAATTTCAAAGTATAAAATAAAAATAAATTAGTTATTTTCTGCTGAATTATTTTTAAATTCCACAATGAATTGTCAGTTCAGAGTTACTTTTTATTGACAAAGATACTTTAGAAATTGTGTGTAATTCAAAAATGATTGATTGAAAAGTTAAAGATTAGCGGATTGTTAGAGGACGACTTGAATTATTTGACCTATCAAATAGTGAAAAGTAATATCCATCATGAATCTCGTCTCAAAATAAAAATAAGTTAAAACAATCAATTGCTGACGAATTCTAAAGCATATAGTATGTTATGATTTCTACGATGGAGTAATGCTCTTTCGACATATAATTTGAATCAAAAAAAATGACCAAGAGATTTGTATAATTGATTTATATACTCTTAATTAATTAATCAATTTTTGTGTTCAGATCAAGTTGAATGATTTACGATGTGACAGTCCGGTGAGTTGTTGTGTAAGTCATCGATCATCTGTTAGCATGGATTCCGGATGTGTTTCACTTTCTTCTGACTTTAGGTACCATTTAAAAATATAGAAATTTTATTATCCATTTGCGGACATCCCGAATTCTAACAATAGTAAACATAAATGGAATTTGAAAATTCGTAAATGATGTTATTTTGGGATGAAAAGGGAATTGAAAAAATATTTTGGTCAGTCAACCACATTCACATGTATTCTAATAAATATGGTTGTGTGTGAATTTGTAGCAGTCACTCACCAATGCCTTCTAATACAAATCGAAAATTCTCATTGGAAGATCAACGGAAGAAAACTGACCAGAATGTGATCACTGCAGAAGTTGGAATTGATGAAAATCCGCAACTTGTGGTGAATTTTTACATATTCGTTAATAAGTTATTTTATTAATTTCGTTGTTGAATGTCATTTCACGTTATGTCTTAGAGTTCATACTTGTCTGTTTGCACATTTTTCCTCATTTTCCACCCCAAATGGCTCCCTGAATTTCTCGTATTCCAGATCATTACAGATTTAACACTATCAATTGCGGATAATTCATCGTAAAATGTTTTCACCTCCAATATTTCTCAGGCTATGGCAATTGAAAGTACCACAGCGTTGCATTGCCACAGAACAAAATGTTGCACGAATTGGCCAAGAATGAAATCAATGTGCTTCAATTATCCGGATGAAAACAACGCCGTTGTTGTTGATTCACTCTCATTCTCACAGATCACTCCGCCACCAATTCATCGAAAATTTTTTACAGTTGGAAGGTCAGAAAATGTTAAGGTAAGGTAATAGCCCATTACTAAGAGAAAAAAACTTTTTTCGACGAGTAATAAATATTTTAATCGTCTGTTAAGATATTGTGTCATAGGGATCACCCGAAGTATTATTAAGAATTTCCACTGAGTTCATGGCCCCCTTAGATTGACAATTAATCGATACCTCAAACTTTTCATGTGCTTTACTTATTTCTCCAAGTTTGTATTGCATTTCTTGAGATGATTATTTAATTTTATAGCCAAACAAATTTGGAGATGAAAAAGTAATCAATTAATTTTAGGCTCGTCGTCCATGTTTGACTGCGAGTTGTTTCGATATCCATTCTTCGACAATGTTACAAAAGGAGCAATCACCGACACGTTTTCCAGTTAATCAATCGCTGGGATTGAATGCTAAACCAGTTGCGATATCATTATCGTCAAAGATACCAACATCTCCATATATGAGACTTAGAGATCCTCAAGTACGTGCTGATATTCATATGTTTTTTTTAATTCTACGAAACTTATTGAAATTGAACAATTTTAGAAAGTGAAAATTTCAGGAACTGTCGCAAAATTCACAAGTTATATCACATCCCGAGAGCCAGTCAATTTTTCACGCAAGCCGAATATTCGTAGATCGTTCGCCACGCATTGTGCAGTGTCGCAAGCAGCGCATGAATATTGAAAAGTATGATTCAGATGAAGAAAGTCCACGATTATTGCGCGCACAGCCAGCTGTTGTCCTTAGCAGGCAAGGGAAGTTTTATATTGGATGATCATAATTGTTAAGTTTAAATTTGTCAAAAACTTTTGAAAAAAAAATTGAAAACAAGAATGCATATGTATTTAATTCAATATTTCTAAGGGATCATTGGATTGGGAAGATTTAAAAAAAATAAAAGAGTAACTTGATAGGTCAAATAATTCAAAGCTTAGTTTAATTCCTTATAAAATATGCTTTTAAAAACTTATCTCAATGAATGGCAACATTTAAATAATTTTCAAACATAGTGGCATTAACAAGAATTTCCCTATTGACAAAAATAAACAAAAAATGTTAATCAGTTTGAACTTATTTATAGCTTTCATACATATTAGATTTAAAGTATACAACTATATCGAAAAAAATATTTTTAAAAATCTGAAAAATTCTATAATTGGTAATTTGAACTTTCCAACTATTTCAATCATTCAATAAATGTTGAAGAAAAAAAATCTTTTTAAATTAATTTTTTCGTGTCTTTGAAAAGTTACAAATCACATTTTAATTCATACTTTCATCTTCACTATTTTATAGGCAGCAGAGTTATGCGCATTCGAATGAAAGTTCACCATGTGAGTTGCGAAAAGTACATCTAGTAGAAAGTACTAATTCACAATCAAATGTCACCCTAGAATATCATCAGCAGCTCAATCGGTAAACTCATGTAACATTATTTGCGCCTCATATATATTTCAATTCAAAAATGTTATTTGCTGTAAAATATTGAACTTAAAATTTTTTAAAATATTTTCTCAGTCATTTTGTCAACTGTTAACCATTGTCACTGAAAAAATTCATAATTTTCAGTTGTGAAAGTTCGCAGAGTTCCGAAACAATTGTATCTGATCGACCTCGTCGTCGAAAAATGGAAAAAGACTGGAAAGAATCTGAGAATCTATAGAAATTAAGAAAAAACATCTTCGAAAGTTTTGGTGTGTTGTGTGTGGAATAATTCATTAATATAAAATTTTATTTTTGTTCTATATTGAATCACTTGTATTCTGGTATCATTTAGCATGGATAGGATTGGCGCAACTTTACACAACATTAATTAAATTAGTTCGATGTTTTAAATAAAATCTATCTGGGATATCTTATAAAAATCTCCGCTATAAATTCAACTACTGCAATGGTTAATTCATCAGTGGATTGAAAACCGGTTAATACAACGTTGTGACATCATATCATTACAAATCGTAAATCCACAAGCTCTGAGGAAAGCAAAATTCGTTGAACTAACTGACCATTATGTTATACAAAACAGTTTGGTGAATATGCTTGTCCCTTGTTGAAGAAGGCATTTTAAAACAATTTTTATCGAATTTATTGCGCATTTTTAAAAAGCAATGTACCTGCAGGATTCATGCATTTCTCGAAATGCTGCAACAATGTAATTGGAAATATGACTTTCCCGAGAAGCTTTAAAATTCACTGTAATATTAACATTTATAATAATTTCTTCTTGCTAATGAAAATTTGTTCAACACTTTGCATAAAGATATTAAGTAGCGTAACTAAGTGAAAACACATACATAAAATGTGAGACATTTTTTGAGTCATTCCGAAAATCGTTTCAATCAACGATGAAAAATGTTTATTATTACAAAAAAAAATTTGTCGTCTGATTGCAAAGGCTTTTGGTGAGCTGCACAGAAGTTATCGAGAAAATTTTATCACAGATGTATTAGAATGGTATCCCGATATGTTGGATTTATTAAAAATGAAAACTTCATCATTTATTATCGCCCTCTTCCTCATCCTTATGTTTTCGCTTCATATGATCATATAGAAACGTACTATGCAAAAATAATTTGTCGCAACGATCACACTAAAAAGTTTGAAATTAAGAATGTGACTTAGCTAAAAAGTTAAAATTCATTGGTCTTAACAAGTTTAATTCTAGGAAATCCCTGAAATTTCACATAAATTAAAATTTTTAGAAAGCAGAAAATTTCCTTCAGAAAAATTATTATTATTTTATATGGGAAATTGAATAATGATAACCTTAAATAATGAATTTATTGTCTCCGGTCCACTGACAAGCTCTTTTCGTAATTTCGAATTTTCCATACTTACAAACTTCAAGCGATTTTGTAACTCTTCCACTTGCCTTACAAGTTCTGCTTGTGTTTTCTAAAATCACACCAACAAAAAGGTTTATTAGAGTTTTTACTCTTCTAATTTTTCTCCCGTGCTCTTTCCATATTTCATGCACATGAAGCACACACTCACTGATCAAATCCATTCAATAGAACGTAATTTATGAAAGGATAAAGATCATGGAAATAATAACCGATCTGACGAAAAAAGAACTGAAATATTCATTTCACCTCAATGAATCAGTCGAAAATGCAGACAGTGGTGATAGGAATCTGTCATTATCACTTAAATTGTTCATTGAATAAAGTTTGAAATGACAGGATTAAAAAAGTCATTAGGATGTTTTGTTCGCTTCAGCGCACCTCTTGCATAATATTACGCAAGTGCAAGATATAGCTTGCAGCATGAGTTCAGCCTTATTCCAATGATTAATTGTGGGAGACTGCCACACTGCCACCCGATCATAGCCCAAAAAATCGTCTTATCACTGCCAATTGAATTATAAGTAATACAAACAAAATGTATGAAAAGATTTTGCAAGCAAGAATTCAGGACAACACAAATATGAACCAATAAGCTGATTAGATTAACGAAACTGTTTGCGTATTAAGTTTAGCCTAATAGGTCACTTCATCAGTTCAGTTGAGATTTGTCTTCGAGTATTGCGAGACAGTCTCCATCTTGCGATCTCTCTTTTTTCAAACAATTAAGTACTCTATGAATTGACAAACTATTGAAATATTTCCACTTACCAAAATGTATTCAATTTGCAGCTGAGCTATTCGAAACATTTTTAATAATCTTTCAATAGTACAATCGTCGTCCTTAACAAACGTTTTCATTAAAAAAATCATTAACATACAGTGTTATATGGTCGGTGTATGAAATTTCATGCAAAAATTATCTCATTTAAAATTATTTGTTTACGATATTTTACACGGCAATCCATCTATTCAATTTATTGCAGAAATATAAATTGATTTTTGAAATTCTAAAATCAAAATTAAATTTAAGCAGAAAGAAATGTTTCTTTAAGATCTTTTAAAAATACAGTGACGAATTTTTTATAACAATTTTTACCGTTTGATCAATTTTACTTAGAACAATGGACGGTAAAGCTCTTTGAAGGACATCATAACTGCCAACACCTTCTTCTAGAAGACTTAAGCTTATTTCATCTGAAAATAATAAGAATTTGATGAGATAGTAGTTGACTGAAGATGAAAAACTTTTCATTACCTTTTTTAGATTTCTAACATTGAGAAATAAAGTTAGAACCAAACATTTTAAATTGTTATGGGAAATTTCAGAAGTATAACTGAAACAAATATAACTTACCAATAAGCTTCCAGTCAGGTCTATGATAATTATTGAGCATAATTAATTACACAGTATCTTGCGCCAAACAAAACATGGTTTAATCATTCCCGATAAGGCAGATGACATTGTTAGCAGATTATAGCCATGGATATTGAAAAATAGAATAGCGCTATCGTCATGGTTACCTTCCCATTATATCAATAAGAGCAACAACGAGGAAGGAAAAACATCTGCAAATTATTGCTTTTTTGAATATATTTATTGATTTTTCTGACTATCTAATAAAATGGTCAGTTAGCAATTTCAAATCATTTCAGATTTATTTTGATAATAGAATTAAATGAAATATTGTATAATCTTTTACTGCAATTTTATTGAAGTAATTATTTAATTACTTTATTGGAATTTCTTGTAAAATAAAATTATCAAAAAACAGAAAAAATATGTTACCATAATATAATATTAGAATTTCACCCATTCAACGCTATATATTTGCTGTATGGGACATCTTGAAATTATTCAATTTGCGATAATTCCGATTTTTAAAATTTTTGATCGTTGCGTCAGTCAACTGAGAATATTAAATTCTTGTCGAATAACTTCTTCCATTTCTTTCTTAATTTTAATATTTCACAGAACTTTTTTTTTGTTCAATTTAATAATTAAGGAAAAGAATGCTTTTTAGAAAAAATTGATTCCTTCTTAGAAAATGTTGCATTTATTCGATTGGGTGTAAAATTATTCTCAAATTTATATTTGAATTTTATCGAAGGGCGAATTTTGTTGATGTGATTAATTCATATGAAAATAGAAATGGAATGCATAAGGGATGTTTCATTGCGATCCATTCTGAAATTCCCAAAATACGAATAGAAAATAAAATGTGAATATTACATGAATAAATATACATACTTTGATCTTATTTTTTTTTACTTGTTTATAAGCTGAAGGATAAGCTATATATATGTAACTCACTTTAATGATTCAATTTGATTCATCAAATCATTTAATTAAACTTTTCAATAACTCAGAAATTTACCAATCTACCGCGTTAACCACAAAAAATTACAAAGAATCGATAGATTCCATTAGATTTGAAAAAAAAACCTGCGTTAAATGACTATTTGTAGTATCAGCGTTTTACGGAATCTGAGATCACTGTTTGAAAAAGGCTTTTCGGGCCATTAATTTTTATAAAAGACAATGTTTATAATTGATTTATTCAAAAATTATAATTATATATAACTTATTTCTTGTAGATGTATGTATGTTCAATTAAATTCTGCTAATCTTTTATCTTTTTTAACAGTTTTATAGCAAAAGGCATGTCAAGTTTCCTGGTTAGATTCTGAATAGGCATGAGAAATTAATATTCATTCCAATACGAATATCATATTTTAACATGCCTGAGTAACATCATATCGATCTATCATTATAAAAATTGATCTATTATCAATTTTATTTTTTTTTTCAATTTACTATTCATTTTATCCAGTTAATTAGTCAATCCCTGTTTGAGTGTCTAAAATTAAAGTGAAGTAGTATATAGTCGTGGATTTCTTGTACAAATATTGATGGACATTATGTTGATGTAATTTTAAGTGGATAGTCGTTGGAAGAAACGATATTTGGGTAGTATAAATTCATGGTCTTGACGATACAAGGAAACGGTTACTGTCACTTTTTCATTCAATTTATGTCATTCTCGAGAATACCAATTTAATATGTTAACAATGCCAGTTGAAGTAAGTGGATATTATTATAAAACACATTATGCAAAGTTTGCACTGAAAATATACGTTTCACTTTAATAAATTTCGAATCCATCTACCTATACCTATTGAGGCTTTTCTGATCATTTTCAAGTGCATATACAAAAATGACTTTATAACAATTGCTTATGTAAACAATACAAATGTTTCATTAAAGAAGGAAGAAGATAAAGAAAAAGTGCTGTTCAGTTCCAATATGATAGCCAGATACGGCTCTATTGCTAAAATCAAAGGTCAGATAAAGAGAAGTACATTATAATACAGACTGCCACAGACAAGAGAAAAGTTGAAAAGAGCAGGAGAGAAGTTGTTTTGATAATAGAATCATGATGATACATACAAAAAGCGTGACCTGAAGTAAAATGAGTTCTACTGTTCTATTAAAGTAATGTTGCCTTAGCATCTGACTACCTTCAATTTGTACTAAATGGATTTTCCGATAACTATCAGCAAATATATCACCTGACTTTGGTTTTGTGTATCATTTGACAGTGGACTGTCACTTAATAATTCAACAGGAAATATTCTTTAAAATTCATTCTAGATAATTTCGAAAGTTTTAAAAATACAATTCGTTCAACATCGTATTCGCAGAGAATTTTTATTTTCTCTTAAAGTTTGCATGCATCGAAACATAAGTGTGTTCTGCTTGAAATTGATTTTTAAAAAAAGCTGTGCAAACATTAGTTAAATAGTGAGAGCGAATCTG